TAACATCTTGGACTTCACGATACATAACTGGTCGTCTACAACTGGCTTCATTTAATCGACGCTGCTTGGCTAGAGATTCAGCATCGTCTGGTGTCCCGCAGTGTTTGATACTTGGACCACTTTTCTTCCATATTTTCATAAATGATCATCATCATCATATATTAACCCTTAAGGGCCCTTGATGGGGCATTACATAAGGGGGAGGGAAGTTGCGAAATATATGTAAAAGGTCACATTTACCAAGAAAAAAGGGCATGTCGGCTCTGTACACTGCTACGAAACCGGAAGGTAAAACAAAAAAAAAAGACACATTTAAAGTGTTTCTGCAAGTGTTCATAAAGTATTTTCGTTGTGGTTTCAGAAGCATGAAACAAAAAAAAATATAATAAACATCATAGTACTAAGTGTTAACATTCTTATGGAGGCCCCGACCATGAAATCGTAATACTTTGGCGGTACTATATTAAAAGAAGAAGAATGAAAATTAAGAGGTACAGGGCAAAATAGTTATACACTAGGAAAAGGAGCAGCTCATAGAGAGCTTCCAGTTTCATGTCCGAGTTGAAACCTGAAATAATGCATTTAAATATTCTTTTTTCCCCAGAACGGTGAATGATTAGAATTTATTAACAAATGAGCAAGTGTCGTAGTCTTCACTGGCAAATTTTGCTTCTTGTGTCAGTGTTCATGAACCTGGTCCTTATTTATATTTAGTTTATATTTACTCATGTGTAGTTAGTACGTGTGCACATTTATTCTTGACACGTCTGTTATTTTATTTACCTGCACTCGGTACTTTGTTCCTATGTGCCAATAACTCCGTGTGCTGAGATTTGGGTTCACGTTAAGGTACCCCAGGTGGTCGAAATTTTTGGCGCCCTCCACTACGGCTGCGGTGTGTCTCATAATCATATGGTGGTTTTCGGACGTTAAACCCCACATATCAATCAATCAATCATGTGTGCATAACTGCATTGAGGATTGCTATATATGTATTTGCATACATGTGCACGTGTAAGTTCGAATGTGTAACCGCGTTTTATTTGTTAAGTCACTTTCTGTTTTAGGTCATGCGAATTATGGGACATGTTATGAAGTCACTTTCCGTTTTAGGTCATGTGAATTATGGGACATGGTTATGCCTACCACTTGTTTCACACATTTTGTTGTACCAGAACATGCACTCTTCATCTTTCTGCCCTACCAAGGTCCCAACTAAGGATTGTTGTATAAATAAATAAATAAATAAATAAATAAATAAATAAATAAATAAATAAATAAATAAATAAATAAATAATAAATAAATAAAAACTGATTCCTAGCATCACCATGTCGCGCGGTCGGCAGTAGCGCCGATGGCCCTCTCATGGTTTTGGTTTCCCCGCGTGATCGCAACGGATAAGTGCGCGACACTTGGTTTTTATCTTTATCGTACGCTTTTGCATGGGCGGTGGAAGCCGATTTTCATCTTTATTGGGGCAGCTTTTAGCTCATTTATCATCGGCGCTCACGAGGTATTCTCTTTCTCCTTGATTATTGAGGTTACTCTGCCTAAGGCAGCCACACGCAGAGGTGCCCATGTGTGCCAATGCAACTCGTTGCTCCAAAAGAACAAACACATTTTATTTGTGTGGACTGTGAGGAGGCGCTCTGCGTTGACCCATGTTTCAAGCAATATCAAGTTCTGAAATACTATAGGTTCACATGAGATCATCCGCAGGGGCTGCTGGTGCGGCAGCCGCTGTAGTGTAGTCGCACACGCTGGTCATTGTATGACGACCGAGGTGCTTGGCTGCGTGGCGCCACCCCTGGCGCTAGTTGTTGTGATACCTTTTCTCATCTCTTCATATGAAATCAGAACATCATGCAATCAATCGCTGAAGAACCACAGCAGTGTTGGTCGAAGATAGGTACCCAGTCAAAAAAGTTCAAGTGGTTCAATTGGAAAAATACCAATTGACATCAATTGGTTTTCAACCCATTGGAATTTGGCCACCAGTTGGAAACATACCAATTATATATTATTGGTGAACCAATTCATATTCAATTAGTTATAATCATTTAGACAGAACTGGTAGATAATTGGTTGACCAATTGATGTAGGGGGGGGACCAATTGGTGATCCAATTAAAGCTAACTGGGATCCAAATGGCTAACCAGTTAAAGTGAACTGGTGTGCAACTGGTAATCCAGTTAATCCTAAATGGTCCTCCAGTTGAAACTAGGTGGTGTTCAATTGGTTGATCAATTCAAATAGATGTAGTCATCCAATTGAAACTAGCTGGCTTCTAAAGGGTTTGTGGGTTGAAGAGAATTTGTGTCCAACTAGAAGGTCAGTCGAAGGTATGTGGTACTCAATTGGTTAAGCAATTGAATAGATGTGGTCATTCAATTAAAGGTAACAGGTGCTCAACTGGTCACCCTGTTAAAATAGACTGGTTTCCAACTGGTTAACCAGCTATGTGCAAATGGTCATCAAATTAAAGCAAACTGGTGCTCAACACGAAGAGGCTTTATTAGACGACAATAGTTCGGCAAAAATGTCTTGTACAGAGCGAGATTTATAGTACAACTCCCAATTCCTGCTAGCAAGGGCATATGTAGTTGAACTGCTGCTCGTTCTGCTGCAGTTTTTGGAAAGGGGGTCGTTGATATATTGTTGTTGCTCAGAGTTATTTCTTTGTTCCGCATTGCATCAGCAATCATGCAGCCAGGCTACATGAAAGAAAAATATGATGAGACATAGATAAAATAGACTACATGGCTGCAGTAAAGAGGTTAACACACCAGTCTAAAACTCTGTAACTGCACGCTCTGGCACTTTCCAGATTGGGTAGTTCGAGATAGTCCACTGGTGAGCATTCGTCTTAAGCAGCCATGCATTCCAACATCGATGTTGCGATTCAGAGTGCGTCATTAGAGTGTTCCAGACCAGTGTGGTTACCTCTGCACAAAGTATGGAAATGTTACCGATGTAACTAGACTTACCGTGTACAGTAGCTCCCACACTTCATGCTAGCTACGCCCGTGCACCGTGTCCGCTGCAGTCGCGAGCCAACACTAGTTAGTGTAACGAACAAAATGTTCAAAAGATAACAATACAGGTGTTAAGGTGGTTCAAAAGTAAAATACTTGCCTTGATTGTAAATAAAAAGGGCTGAATCAATGGATCATGCCAGCATAATTACTGCAAAGAGGCTGGGTATAAAACACGTCGGTGAACATTGCGACTTGTGCCCGCTGCGGCGGTCCATTAGTGATGACGATCCTGATGGCACGTGCTGCAGCGCTTTCACTGTGAGTGCATGCTCTTTTATGAAAATCTAGACTACACAAAGATTGCTTTCGTCGAAAAGCAATACAAAATTTTGTAATGAGAAATTAATTTATAAAGTTCATTTTGACCTCACTTTATCGCTTCAAATGCAGCGGTTTTGGAAGGGTTGTTAGTACTAAACCAATGCTTGCTCAACCGCTTTCTCAATGTGTTCTTGTATGATTGAACTGGGGTGGCTACTCGTGTCATAAAGATGTGAAGTGGAAAGAAACATTTGTAGCAGATATAGTACTATAGTAAGGTGTTTTATGATTTTGGGAAAAAAATATTGCAAAATTTTACCACCTCACTCATTGCCAACTTCACAGAACTTGCACAAGGCACTCCATAGGGTTGACCAGTCAAAGAGAACTGGTCTTCAGTTGGTCAGCCAGTTGTAATTAAATGGTTTCTACCAGGTCAACCAGTTGAACACTTACAACACTCTTTACAACTAGAATATTTCCAATAAAGGGTCTCCTCCGATTGGAAAGTATTTTCCCATGCGGGTGTGCACATTCAATTGAACTAACAAGCATTCCAATTGGGAGGCCAATGGGAATTCACTGTTCCAATGGTTTACTAATTGGGATGTGTGCAACCAATTGGACTGACAAGCATTTCAATTGGGAGACCAATCGGAAAGTGGTGTACCTATATGAATGATCAATCGCAACTGCGTGGTCCAATTGGTCATCCGCATTGAAGCACCACGTCCCAGTTGCTTTCCAATTCATTCCATTTAGGACCAATTGCTATGAACTGGTATGACCAATTGAACCAATTCACTTTTTTTTGACTGGGTAAAGATGTAAGCCTATGGTGCAGTTTGCAGTCATAAATGATGCCGACACCAAAATACTGTTGCTGATGTTTTTAATAGAATTTTTCTATTGTACACATTTGGCACATTCAAAATCTGCATTGAAGTAATTAGAAATTTTGGAAAGCTTAGAAAAATGTTGCACGAAATGTTACACATGCTTACTAGACAGTGACAGCATTGGGTGGCATGGTACCTTCTTGTATTGACGTGGCAGAAAGTTGTGTGCCACTCAGGGAATTTCGCAAAAATACTCTGGGAAAACCCGGAAATCTCGGGGAATTTCAAAATGCTGACTTGGTAGACACCCTGTCATAGTGTGTGATATTACGACTGGTTTGGGTGTGTGTGCGGCTACAGTTGTCTGAGGGCCAACAGCTGTGCCTTTTTCATCCATCATCTTCCTAGGCCTAGGGAAGGGTAGGTAGGTCAGTTAGCGGGCCTTGGTGAATTCGTTGCAGCTTGGCAAGTGTTCTTTGAGCTTTAGTGCTGTCCCATGGGCGATAGTCGCCGGCGTGAGCTAGCGCACCTTGGTATGCGCCATATGATTTAGGTTGTCTCTGATACTGCTCTCATGAGAGCGGCAAACCAACAGATTTTGGTTTGAAATCTATCTCCCACTGGACCTGGCTGTTGTGCAGGACTTGGACCGAATCAGGAAAATTATTGGTTTTAATGAGATGTTTTCTGAAAGCCATGGCACAAATCTCGTAGCAGTGTTCGACTTGTTCGCAGTCAGCTCAACAATTATTCATCTGTGCTTGTCTTCTTTGCAGTGTCGTGATTATCTTGCAAGGATTAAAATATATTTCAAACGTACTTGTGATAGAAAATGTTGGGCCGTCCTCTTTCGTTTTGCAGTGGAAATCTTTGCACCAAGATACCGTCCGGCCACCGGCATATGTACCCCTACTACAAGAGAGCTGTATGCAACTCTGAGGACTTGCTTGCGACGTTCGAAACCGTCGTTCGTGTGGCGGATTACATGGCTGTGTAAGTGCTTTTACATGACACCTTAAGCTTCCTTCCCGATTTTGGAAAAAGCTTTTAGGGTAACGGGATCTTGCAAAGGATTGCTTATGGTTGAGGAGATGTATATTGGCTGGCCTTGTATATTGGCTGGCCTCCAGAAGACGTAGACAACTTGCGCATTTTCTGCGACAGATAGTGTGATACGTTTTAGGCCATGCAGTTGGGTGTTGCTGGCTTGCTTTGGACTTATGAGGAAAGGGTAATTCAAGTATATTACAAGTGATAAAATGGGCTCTAGAGCTTTTTTTTTTTGAGGCACAGGTGATCGACTTGACTGCTCATGCTGTGAAAAACGAAGTGAATGTGGGTGTGTATATACAAGAGCACTGCACAGGCTACGATTCTCGGCCTGGGTTCAGAAATTGTTTAAGTTTACCAACCCAAACCTGGCCTAGTGACCGAAATGTGAAACATGGGCCTGGTCCAAGCTTGAGAAAGAATTTAGCCTGCTGGGTCCAGCCCGGCTTGACCCAACTGCTGTTGAGGCCCGGCAGGAACCCGAGCCTATAATCTAGGTGTTGTTGTTTGAACAGGGAATTGACAGTAAGTTGTTTTAAATGCCAAATATCTATGCTGTGTTGGTGTGTGCTTTGCATATGAGGATGCTTTAACCTTCTTGTCAATAGTGGCTCACGGTGGGAAAAGTTGAGCAGACACACTGGGCACGATGAACGTTTGTGCAGGGCACTGCATCTATTTTTGTCTGCAAATAGAAGGAGGGTCATCAATGACATTTTGCAGCAGATATTGTAGCTCTGAAAGTAGTTTGCATCATGAGTTCTGTTTCATTAGGCAACAGAAAGAGAGGAGCCAAAGAACATAATTCTGTCTTTATTTTGATTGAACTAATGCTCTAATGATCAAGTCAGTCATATACCCTTTGGATATGTAGCACCAGTCTTCAGCAGTGCCTTGCCAACACAAGATAAACAGAAGAAAATAAGCCAAATTTGTGACTTTTGTTAATGAACTAACCTGACGGAATGCACTATGTGCAGTTTTTAGGAATACATATAAGCAGGAATAAGAAAGAAAAAACTGTTTTACTGTAGTTTTACTGTATTTTTAAAGTTAATTAAGCAGCCTTATCTGCGATGAGTGTGTATAGACAGTTCGGTGAGGAGACGACATGGGGCAGATGATTACATGTGGAGGGGCTAATCGACCTTTCTATTGGCTGAGGGGCCCTGTAGCCTCCACAGTGCTGAAGGATAATTTTGAAACAGAGTGTAGATTGGCCTGTACCTAAGCAGACTTCTGGCACCACAAGTAAGGCTGCTCAGTTTCCAGGCATTTGCACACTGCCATAATGACTGTGAGAAAAAAAAAATTGAAAAGGCAGCTTGAAGCCAGAATTGTCTGTCAGCTTTCGAAGAGCAACCAAAAAATGCTGTCATGTGCGAGAAGCCATCAATGCAACAAGCAGTGATTGATATAACATTTCGTTGCATAAATTTTAAGTACAGTAGGCTCATTGAACAGAACATGAAAGGACCAGGTAAACGTGTTTCGTTTAACAAGAGTCTCATTTACTGAGAGATGAACAGGAGTGTAGAATGCTTGTGTGAAACCAATCACACCAAGAGCAATTGTTCGTTTAACAGGTGTTCATTTACTGAGAGCCCGCTTCATGTCAGAAAAGTCTTCTGCTTTTTCGGTAACTGGCAACAAGTCGGTCAATGATTTCGACGCGTGCAATTGCCGTGATGCCTTCGCAGGTATTAAAAAAAAAGCTAAGGCAAGGTGGGCGGCCAGTGCTGAATGCACCATTATGCCTCATTGTCGACAGCCTTGTCATGATCATCACCAGCTGTGTGCCTTGAACGCAACACAAGAGCACAATGCTGCCGTTTGCTGGTGTTAGGTTGCTTTCCAGGGTGCTCCACTTTGTGGACAAAAGCTGGCTGGCGCCCAACTGAGTAGCATGGGCACTGAGAAACTTCAATCCAGCGACCATACTGCATGCTTTATAGGTGACAATAGTTCGGCAAAAATGTCTTGTACATAGCGAGATTTATAGTACAACTCCAATTCCTGCTAGCAAAGGTATATGTAGTTAAACTGCTGCTCGGTCTGCTGCAGTTTCCGGAAAGGGGATCGTTGATATATTCTTGTTGCTCAGAGTTATTTCTTTGTTCCGCATTGCAACAGCAATCATGCAGGCAGGCTGCATGAAAGAAAAATATAAGACATAGATAAAATAGACTACATGGCTGCAGTAAAGAGGTTAACACACCGGTCTAAAACTCTGTAACTGCACGCTCTGGCACTTTCCAGATTGGGTAGTTCGAGATAGTCCACAGGTGAGCATTCGTCTTAAGCAGCCATGCATTCCAACATCGATGTTGCGATTCAGAGTGCGTCATTAGAGTGTTCCAGACCAGTGTGGTTACCTCTGCACAAAGTATGGAAATGTTACCGATGTAACTAGACTTACCGTTGTTGAGTAGGCGTACCGATCCCACCGAAGCCACCACTGTTGCGAAAGACGGCGACGCCGACGCGGTCCCGGAGGCGCCACTGCTTTCGACCCCGCCGGGAAGGTCACCAGCCGTTTGGTAGCGTATGTTTCTCAGCTCGCGACTGCTTCTGCGCAGAGCTGAGGAGACGAGCGGACGAGACGACGGTGAGTTAAACAAGGTTTATGTACAGCATATATACAGAGGCGTTACAATTTCGGCACTGGGGCCGGCAGAGACTCGAAGAGCCGAGCTCCACTCTCTAACACATAGGTCAGCCTTTCGCCTAGAACCGCTGACTCACACACATGTCGGCACTCCGACACGGGGACGCCTCTCACATAGGACCGCCGATCGCGACGCGCCGCAGGGCTTCTTTTATTTACACCGGGTCCAACCAAAATGTCCAATCAGAAGCGCCGCTGGTCGTCCGGGCAGATTCCGCCAATGGGGCCGCCGCGCCATGCGTCAGACCACCTGACACGAGGACGCCGGCTCGCTGTCACGTGCGCAACTGACTCACTGCACGTGGGCCAGAGGAGCGCCGCGCGTGTTCACGCCGTCGAGTTGATCGCGCCAGGCAGACTGCGGGCTGGCCTTGACCCAGATTGCCTTTTTCCGAGGCACGGACGTTTGACGAGGACTCGCTGGCATAACAGCACCCCCGCCGCCAGACAATGCACCGGAAAGACGAGCTGCTTCCACGGGGCTCGGATGTCAGGTGCGCTCGTTCGCCAGGTCCCTCCAGGTTCGCCTCCAGGGCCATGGGGAGAATACAGCTCCAAACTGTTCCGGGAACACATCCCATCTTGACGACGGATCCCAGCTCCACTGGCTTGTCGCCACAACTTGCTGACCAGCTTCACTCGTCTCTTCTGACCATCTTCGGTTTCAGCACTTGTCGATGGTTCTGCAACTTGCCAAGAACGGATCGACAACAGACAACACACGACACACGCAAGTGCCTTCGGTCACCCGACAGAACACCAGACAAAGTATAGTACAACATATACCTATCTACGTGTTTATCGTAATTTTGTTCCCTCTACATCAAGAGGCACATGTGGGACAAAAGACTCTTAAAATGACAACTCAATTTTTTTTTTCCGTACAACAACGTAACGAATTAGAATACCACAAAGTTGGCCCCTTGAGATCACTCTAAACGAGAGCGCTCAGCCCAGGTCGTGATGAGGTCAAAATTTTGCCCCGAATCGCCAGCCAGAAACCGAAAGGTTGAGAAGTTACTAGCTGGAACGCACTGCTCAATGCACCTGCATTAGCGTTTACCTTTCCCTTTTTTTTTTTTTCTTTAGCGAACGTCAAAGTTGCGCTGTGGAGCAACATGCTCCACCTCAGTAACCGGCCACTTTTAGGCGACGATACCTATGCGGCACCAAGAGCGGCTCACACTTGCGACGTTGCACAGGGGAACAACGATACGGCTTGCTACTGATTGACTCCTCACCGCTTAGCTCGATATCGTGTTCGATCACCGTCGTGTCTCCGGGACGGTCCGACAACACATACCCAAACTCGGAAACAATCTTTCTCAGGTCCTCTTTCTCAGGTCCTCCTTCACTTACGCTAGGCTCTAGGTTTATCTGCTCCCGGATTACTTTCGATCCCCCTTCAATCACCTCACTAGAACTCAAATTTTCTGCTCCCTCTTCCTCTGAAGCCTTCAACAGCTGATTTACGACCGCTTGATGTTGAACATTGGGTTTCATCAAGTTGTAAATTTTGTTCTGCCGCCTTCCTACTTGCACCTCATAAGTTGTATCGCAAGGCTTCGATAATACTGTGGCGGGCCCTTCCCAATCAACCTCAAGCTTGTTCCTTTTGGGTGGCTGCAGCCGCATTACCTGATTATCAACTTCAAAAACGCGCTTCTTCCCCGATTTCTCGTAGTGCTCCTTCGACAGCACTTTTGCCGCGTTTTTCTGGCTTTCCACGAGCGCTTCAATTTGGCTTTCCACCAGCGCTTCAATCGAGAGATCCTCACTCTGCCCTCGAATGAGCGTCTCTCGATCAACTCTCGGCAGCTCGCTCCAACTTTCCGCTACAGGCGAGAGCGTTGCAACCCTCTCGCTCTGACTCAATGGCGCCACGTCGTCTCCCCCAGCGCATACCGCGCCGGCCGCTCCCGCGACGGGCCGCTCGCGTGACTGCTCACATGACTCATGCGGAAAATTTCCTTTCTGGGGTTCCGTCGACCCGCCGACAAGGTCACTTGAGAGTTCACCGCATGGAACCAAGTCAAGCTTCCGCGAAAGCTTTCGCGCTTGCGATCGCGTGGGAGCCATGCACGCTAAGTTGGGGAAGAACGATTTGCCCTGCTCTTTGAGAAGCTGCTCCGAGTTGTTGGAGAAAAGATAAGAAAACCGACCATTCAGCGCGGCAGACACAGCCGCTTCGGTGCAAAGCTTACCGAACGGGCCTTCAATGACAACGGTGGCGATTGGTAAGCGAACACTCTGCTCCTCGGCGACTTGCCTGATCCACG